ATTAAGAATATTTAAAATTTCAATTTTCATAATATTTCAATTTCCTTATTATTAAATGATAATTAAATTTTAAAATTTTTCATAAATTATGAAATACATTTTTTAAATTAAAAAATATAACAAAATATTATTAATAATTTAAAGAATTTCAATTATATAAGTTCATAACGCACTTTGGTTACATATTCTTAAAACATTAAATAATTTCACATAGAATATTTCTTAGAATTTAAAAGATTTTTAAAGTAACTTTCTAAGAAAATTATTTATAAAATTAACTAGAAATTCTTTATTGCGAGGAATTTCTAGTTAATTTGTTGTTTCTGTATGAATGTAGCAGTTATTGTGTATAATTAGAGTAAATATTGTTATCTATAAAAAAAAACTTGAATTAAACCAATAATTGGTATTACAAATTGTCAGAAATTGTGAGTAAATATAGGCCTATATCACTTGAATTTTTTAAATTGTGATGTCGAAAACAAAGAAATATATAATATATTATATTATAATATAATTTCAAATTTGATAATAAAAGACGTTAAAGCATTAGAACAATCTATGATAGATACCATCCATGGTTATAGTACATAAAAATTATGTACTGTACCCAACATCAACATAAACATAAATTTATATAAATAAGTGTAAACATGTACTAAACAACATAAACAAACAAATAGAAACATAAATATAAAATATTAAATATAAATAAATGTTGTGTTAAAAATTGCTTTTTCAGAATCATAATAATAAGAATCAGGTCTACATAATAATAGAAGTTAATCTAATATATATGATGAGAAACTATAAATGGTGTGATTCAGACAGAATATCGGTAATTCATATATTGGTTGAATGTGAAAATACTTAAAGAAATTAAGAAGAAAGTATTCATTGATAAACAACTTTATCAAATTATGAATATTTGTTTAATACTAAAAGTTTTAATATAATGTATACATTTTATACTTTTTTCGAGAATTATGTCAAATATCAAATAATAGATGTTAATAAGAATAACTACTTATTCGTTATTTTGATTGTTATAACGACAAAGATTGTAACAAGGTGTTTCCTTAAATATAATAAAACGTTTATTGATTTGAATTGAATTAAAGTAAATATATTTTTTTTGGTCTATATGTAGGCCTATTCTAGGTAATTCTTTAAAAATTTAATCTTTTAAATAATATTTAGTCTCATTTTGCTAGTATTTTTTTAAGTGACTGATTAAAATTAGAAATTTAATCAGCACATTTATATCGAATATTTCCTTTAATTAATTTTCTTTTAGTTAAGGTCATTTTAAATATCTTTAATGTCCTAATTACAATTTACTGATGATTATTTTACAATGCTAATTTAAGCAGGGCCAGATTTACGCGTAAATTAAACAAGCTATAGTTTAGGTCATAACGTTCTTAAATTCCTTATTATTAAATGGAAAAGAAAAGGCCTCTTATATGTTAAAGCTTAGGGCTACAAGTTTAAATTCGGCTTTAACTTTAAGAATTTATAATGAAAAAACTTTATTAATTCTTGATTTAAGAAAGTTTTATAAATCTAATTTTTTTTAAGATTTAAATTAGAATTGAAGTAGGATGTTTTAATAAATCTCAGTTTAAGTCATTTTTCTATAGGCCTATGGAATTAGTAAGTATTTTTATAATTATTTTGTAACTATTAAACTTCAAACTTTGTAACGTTTTTTACTTTTTACTTACATTTTATGAATGTTATACAGTTTATATTACTTGTAAATTCACGTTTATTAAGGTGTAGGCGTATCTAAAATGTATACAAAAGTACATTTATTTGAATAGTTGTAATAAACCTGCTTTTAAAATTTTCATATTGATAGATATTATTCAAAAAACATCTTAAAACATAACTTTTATAAACATAAATATTTTATTCTTATATAAAAATTTTAATCTCAATTTACACAAATCGAATATAGTAAAGTATTATTTAAGAATGACTACATTATCACTTATAGCATAAATCCTTAAGCACTAATTAAAATGTTTAATTTTTAAATAAATATAAATTAATATTAATAAAAATATAAACGTCGTAATTATAAATTAAATTATTCAACTTAAAACATTTACTATTAATCAATAGAAACAATTTAATTTAAAATTATTTCTTATAAGCCAACACAATTTATAGCCTATATAAGTTATATAAATACCTTATAATAGTTTAATTTATTATAGAAAAATTTTACTTTCAAAAATTAAAAACACTGTAATGTTATTAAAATATTAATTAACATTACAATGAATTTATGCAATTATTTAACTTTTATAAAATTAATTTATAAAATATAAAAGTATAAAAAGTATATAATACTTTGAACTTGTATATTCAATTTTTCATTCTTGTTAACCATCTGCTCATAGATGATATTCATTTAATAGGTTTTTAATTATATATTCCATTTATAATTCGCATTTGTATAGGCCTATAACAGCGAATACATTAAAGTTAGAGCGTCATGCTAAGTTGATGGCTTAAATGATATCAATTATCATAACAAGAATACACACTTTTGTATTTTTGTAAAAGAATCTAATTATAAATATTTACAAAAAATATAAAAATTTATAGAATAATAAATTAAAGAAATATAGAAAAAATATATAGCATAAATACAGAATAATATAGAATAGGATAGAATATAGAAAAATTCAATTTAGAAAAAATCAAAATTTAATAAAATATTTTCTTAATTTTCGGGTTTTTTTCTAATTAAAAAAGCAATTCAAATAAACGAAAAAGTCAGCATAAAATTTTTAAGAGAGAAAAAATAATTTATCAATAAACAAATTAATGATACTTGAGCTCATAAATCTTAATTTTAATAAGCATAATTTAAAATATGTTCCTGAATTTTAATTAGAAACTGTAAATAATTTGAATTAATTTATTTAAAAATTCTTTGTCCATTACTAAGTTTTTTAAGGTTAAATTTACATAGGACAGAGTCTTCTAGAGACAACATATAAGAAGCCTTACTCTCTTCACTAAATAATTAAATTTTAAAGCATGAGGTCCTAAGCCCTAACTTTTTTAGCTTTGGTGTAAATCTGGCCTTGTATATTATAAATGTTTTTTAAAACATAGTGGACTCTCGATATACTAAACTCTCGCAAGATTTAGCTTAATCATTCACTATATTAAGAACTCACTGAAGTATAGCAAGTACTATACAGTACAGTACAGTACTAACAAAATTGTCACTGTATCAGGAGTTCATAGAGTTTAAAAAAGTTCAAATAATATTTTAAAAATTATAATACTTAAAGCAATTTATACAGAATCTCTAACAATAATTTAAACTTGTTTATTTTTTTATTTTAATTAGGCACGAAACAATACTTTTGGCGATTTTTAAACTTGTATTAATGACTAAAAAATTATAATAAACTATCGAAAATTCATTATTAATATCAAAGAATCAAATTTAAAATTTTATTATAAACTTTATTCATTTAATTTAAATTTATTAAGATAAAATCTAAGTCTAGATCTAAGAGTTCATTCTAAAGAGTTGTTAATGTCAGGTTAATCTGCAAAGGATAACGAACTCAAAATAAAAACTTTAATAATCGATATCAGATAAAATTATTATTTAATCAGTAAACATTTACAATTTTTTTTTATAGATTTAACAGTAATATATCACAATTTTTAAGTAAGTTTTGATTGAAAAATATCCTATATAACACATGAAAAATGAATTAATATTTAAACTTAATTTAACAAAATTTATATATTTTTATTATATAACTAATCAAAATATAAATTATTTATATTTTTATATTAATTTATAACGTATTTTAAGCTTTATTTTATATTTTATTTGCGATATAATTAAACAATACACACCATAGCAGATTACAATTACAAGTTGCATTTTCCTTCGCTTATATAAAAATTAATCGAACTAATTCGATTTTTTTGCTCTTATCGCGTTTGAAATATGTATATAATTATGTTTTGAATATAATAAGTTGGTTTTATTTTTGCATAATTGGTAAAATCGACTTTAATCTCGAATCGATTATAATGTGAAAATTAGTTAAAAATTAAAAATAATATGCTAAGGAGATTCTTTTTAATGTCATTATCGGCTTGTTTCGTGACACGTAGACGAACTTATTGGTAAAATATGTGGTTAAGAGAACATAATGCCATGATCCGTCACGAAAGAAGTCAATTTTCGAAGCGTTTCTATGCATCACGCAAAATGGTTACTACGTCGTTTAGATTTCTATCTACATCCACAGATGGCGCTGATGTAGAGGAACGTGTCAAGAAATCCATCCTCATACACATTATAACTTCATAAATACATTCTTATGCAATTGAGTATACGAAAACAAATTACTAAATTTTTTACGTTTTTAATAATAATAATAATAAACGGTAAAAAATTACATTGTTTTTAAAAAATAAATCGAGTAAAATATATCGTAAAGGGTTGATTGGATGTAATTAAAATTATTTAATTAATTAAGTTAAAAAATTGGAGGTAAAAAAAAATTTTTGTAAATGTTAAACACGACAAAGATTGATTATGAATTATTTGCAATTACGAAAAAATGACACAGGAGCGCTGCAATCGCTTAATAATGGAAAACGTTGGAGGTATTTTATATGGAAAACAGTCTCTTCTTCTCCAACGTCAATTAAACTTTTAACTTTTATAAATTACTTAAAATTTTCATTCATAAAACATGTATTTATGTATCATTCCTTAATATTTCTATTAAAAATTTCTCAATTTTCAATTTAGTTTTATAAATTTTATTAACAATTAAAACTAATTTTTTTATTCATTTCTTTCTGTAAGTCAAAAATTAAATTTCTAAAGAATAAAGTAATAAATATATTAAAAGTCATAATAAATGCAATTAAAATATTTAATTTTATTTTGAAAATTGATGTATACATTTTTAAAATTAAAGTTTTATCGTCAATTATTTGAAATATTTTTAGTCATAAATGAATAATTAATTATTCTTTTACCAATTGAAAAATAAACTTTTAATGTTTTATGCTAAATTATTTGAATTTTTAAAATATAAATGTATAAACAACTTATACAAATATAATATATAGTAGAACATATTAGTTTTATTATATACTATATATATATATAAT